GTGAGAAAGAAACTGTTCGAAGACGAGGAGGGTGCCGCAAATGGATTCAAACCTCGGATCATTCGTCTCTTTTCGGTTCGCGATGATTTCTCCTCGACTGCGTTCGTTCAGACTCGGGCGGCGCGTCGCGTCGCGAGCTTTTTCATTTGAGTGAAGAGGTCTTTAGCGGAAACCGCGTGTTAACTTACAGCTCTAACTCAGGATTCAAGGATCCTGAAGGCATGACGGCACTGAATAAATATCGGGTGGCCTCAGACGCATGCACGTCCTTCACAGTCGGAGGTGGCGGGGCGCGGGGGGTGAGGGGGGTCCCCCCCTCCTGCCTGTCCCAGTCTCAGTGGGGCGGCGAATGTCAAGCGAAAAGCTCTGCCGTCAGACGAGACCTGTCCGTTGCCAAGCCTTGAACTTTTTAGTTTCCAGTGAAATCAAAATTATGGTTTCTAGAAAGCTTTTTTGTGTCGTGTGCGTTTCGAAATATTGAGATAAGTTCATCTGACACGTCATGGTTTCAAATGCCATCGCGTTGTGACATTTATGGCCAGACGATTTTCGAACTTTTTACGGCTATCGAGCATGAAACATACTTTCAACGAGACTAGCCTGGTCCTGGTGGAAAGTTCGAACTTTGCCGATAGAGCGCATACGTGCAGTCAGGGACGTTTAAGAGTTCAGACTGAATTTTAAGAAAATTCAAGGCTTCACAGAAATACTTCAAGACTTTCTCCTAATTTCTAACAATGAGAAAAATTTGCCGGCTTTTCCGGATTTTCTGAGACTTTTTAAAAGATTGAAATCTTACTGTTTTCTCCTGATTTTCTTCAACCCTACTTACCCTACATACCCGCAACGCAGACCCAACCCTGATACCAATATAAATACGCAACAAGAACCTCAACCACTCTTTCCTGTATTTTCCTCCCAAAAAAACAGAATATTTCACAGATGATTTAAAAAATTGGGTGCTTATGAACTGTCTCCGAAGACTGTGCAGTGTGCATAAACCAAGTCGGCGGAGGGGGGGGGGGCTAAGAGAAACTAATAATAAGAAGGAGATAGGCAACACAGTGACAGAATGTCCCTGGCAGTTGGTCCTATCTCTTAAAGCTGAGATCTTTCATTCTCATCCTAGCATGCTCTACTTAGCAATTCAGACTGTCGGTAGTTGGCCTACGCAAAGCTTTTGTTGCCAGATAATCAAAGTGCTCTCTTAATGTAGAGGCAAATAGTAAACTGGAGACTGGAGGGGAACTTAGCGAAATTATTTTTAGGATATCAAATGGAAACGGCGATTTTTCCATTTCTTACAGGTAAATATTCACCTGAAACCATTCCATTACAGGCCTAAAAGCTCTTGCGAACAAATTTTTATTTAAGGTTGCTTTCTTCCGACTAACCCTCCTAAATTAATTCAATGGTATACATTTCTGCTGACCACAAGTGATTTTACTCCGATGTCTGCATTACTTTTGATAGACGACAATAATAGGAAAAAATAGACAATTTTCGGTTTCTTTTATAAAACCAGCGTGTTTTAGCTATACTCTCAAAAAGCATTCTCCCGAAGATCTCGCAATCTCACATGATCCAAAATCGAGCAAGAGGAAAAACTTACCGTCTATCATATGAAAGTTCCTGACATTTTCTTATTTTCACTCACCATTTTTGACAATGGTTTCTTTCCTTATCCAATTTGTTTCCTTTCTTATCTCTTACTTTTAGTTTGGCCTTACTTGTCCCGTTTTCCTCAATTTCCTCGTTTTTCAACCTCGTAAAACTAGAAACCTCTTATCAGTGGCGAGGTATGAATGATCGATTATTGATATTTCCTCATTTGATGCTATGGTAAATTATCAATTATTAAGGTGTTAGCTGCCAACGCCGTGTTTATCGATCCTTTTCTATAGGATTGAATGACTGATCAATCGATAGATCGCAAAGTACGCCACACCACTGCTCCTTAATCTACCTGGTGAGAAAAATTCTGAAATTTTGCCACGAACTGCCAACGCATGCAGGAGTTTTCGGTCTCGGCTTTCGCGTTTCGCTGGGTTAACTGTGCACAGTTTGCTTTCCCGTTCACCAACACAACGACAACGAACTGTCTGTCAGCTTGCGTGTGCGTGGGTGTGAGTGGCCGCTATCGATTTACACGACACCCGAAGAGAACTGCGTTATGACACACAGACGAACCGAGACTGGAGGCCTCCCCAAAAATTTAGGTCGAGAATCGAGACATGTGAAATTAATTGCAATCTGCGGCGAATTCGGTCTGCGAGGGATGATTTTAAGGGGTGATAACCAGTGGCTCTAAATTGCATTGCGAGGTTTAAGAATTTCATGTGTAAATGTATTCATTTATTTAAAACCGGTTGTGATTGTTTTTAAATTTTTTGTGATTTTGTTTTAATAATTTGGAAAAATTACTTAATTTTTGTGCTGCAAAATATGCAAATGTTAATGAATAAAGAAACAAGTTGTTAGAGGAAACTTTGGAACTTCGGAATTCATTAAGAATCCTGTGATTCTCACCTCTTCATTTTAGGTGCGAACATTCCTACATGATAAACCGAGGGACTGACATTTTGTTCATTTCAAAAGACGCCCCCTGGTAGCAGTGGTAGCCCTGGTGCCTAATGGTGAAAATTTAAACTTCATAGATTGCACCAAAAAAGCATTAATGCGCCAAAGCTGAGACTCAACGTAAAAGTTCCTGATAGAGATTACCCTCCGGCCAAAGTATCACAAACGCCATGCCGCGTTTTAAAATTTCCGACGCCATTTTATTTTTTGCAAAGAAATTGTTGGTTGAATTCGTTTTAGAATTTCATTGAATTCTATCGGCAGCACAAAGAAAATTTAGTGAATTTTTTAGGGCAACTTCGTTTAACAATTGCTCTGTAAAAAAAAATAAAATGCTAGCGGAAATTTTTAAACATCATACGGGGCTTGTGATACTCAGGCCGGAAGGTGACGAGATAGACTTCTTTGCATTAATGCGCCCATTTGGCCCGAGAGGGAGGGATGTTAATCATGTCTGGATCAACTTTCTCCCACCTAGAAAAGCAACAGAAGATTTTCCTCTCTTTTTTGCGACTATTTTAAGAATCACAAAAGACTATCAGATGTCTGAGAAAAGCTTTCCTCTTCATACAAGGTTGAGGGTCCTCCTCGACCAATCAGGCTCGGCTGTCGCTCCCGATCAAATCGAGACGCGAGAGAGAACAAAGCGAGCAGCACCGGAGGGCTCCTCCAGATGCGCGTTTTCCCGGTCGTCATTACGGCAGGCAGCTTTTAACTCCGTGATTATCCGTTTCCCGGCGGGATTAAAACGACGCCAGACAACAAAAACCCACCTCCGAAGACTGAAAATGACTCCCGAGAGAGATTGCCGTGGCTTCGAGTTAAGATGGCCATCTCGAGGGCTGGAATTCGAATACCAGTTTTCGAGAAATCCAGCAACCTGACAGAGGAGAAAAAAGGTTCGATCTTGTTGCGGAAACTGATTGATGCAGATGTACGAAACAATGAAAATACGACTTTGCGAAGTACTGCCGTGCTAAGGAAGAACGCCGTATGAGCCTTCAGGCGTTGCCAAATTTCCTCCGATAAAAGCCGAATTTACTGGGAAAATTGTGGATATAGTTTTCCCAAATTTTCAGACAATTTTGTACGCAATTTAATCTGACATATCTGAAAATTTCAAGGAAAAATATGCATAAATGTTGTCAAAAATACATGTTTTATCAAGGGAAATTTGGCAACTCTCGAATGTTCATACGGCGTTTTTCCTTAGCACGGCAGAGTAGAGGGATTGTGAAAACATGGGCGGAAAGACAAAAATAATGGACTATCGAGATAAAAAGAACCTTGGCAAAGATAAAACTTGCGAGAGAAAACTACGATGCTTCAGGGCGATTTTGAGCAGTTGAAAGCGGCTTTCTGTAAGAAGCAACCCTGAGGAACTACCTTTATTTTTTTAATTGTTCACGTTCAGTCAGAGATTGCTAAAAAAAACTCGAAGTAAAGATTCTCGCCACCGCACCGTAATCAGGAACCAGGGTGGCACGAAATAAAAGAAACTTATAAAAGATTGTAAGTTTTCGTGAAATATTTCATGAAATTTCATACGCGTTTGAAATTTTTGAAAAATATGAAACATTCATTTAGGGGCGGAATATGCAACCCGCATGAACACACATTGACGAAAACATGCAGTGCTACGCAGAAGAAGAAAAATCCTTCGAAACACAATGATCGTTCGAGCGTGAGTTCTCCTTCAGATAGATGGGTATGCAATTTCGGGTACTTAGGAGTCAAAAAAAATGTATCCAGCCCCTTGCTTCAGGTGTGGGAGTTTCTGCTTGTAAGGCACAAAACCACAGTCCGAGTTTCAGCTCTTACGGTCCTTTTGACGCCTCCCCTCAAGTTTATGCTTCATCGGAACTGATTTGAGTTACAGGCGGATTTTAGCAGCGCCTGATCGCTAACCTTAGGGCCGATCTCCTCTATCTGACCGCGCTCATTAAATGACCGTACACAGAAAGAAAACTTTGGTTGCAAGGACTGAACTTCGATTCTCCTTCAACCTCGAACTCTTTCTACTCGGATAACCGAAGTTTCCAGTCATATAAGTCTGAACGGAATTTCAGTAAGTTACCGCAGTTCCGTTTCTGCACTGGAAAAAAACACATTGGATCTAGAGTCCAGACTCTTGAAAACATTGACAAGAAAAAGGACCCGTGATTCAATCAGATTTAAGCTTAACTCAAAAGGAAATCCGCTTAATTTAAGAGGCTCGCTCTTGATTTAAGCTTAAATCCGATTGAATCAGGAGTATTTTTTCTTGTCGATGTTTTTAAGAGTCTGGACTCTAGATCCAATGTGTTTTTTTTCTCAGTGTGTGACTGAGAACTTAAATTACCTGAATCAAAAAAGTTTGGTGTTCAATTTGAGTCAAACTTCTTCTCCGGGTACAAAAAGCATAAGAAAAATGTGCTTACCCCATCCTCTTTGCCTTGAAGGAGGTGGAAGGCACCGGCTCTTTGAATCCCGGGCAGAAACCAGACCGGGTGACTCCGGATGAGCCTCTCGAGGAGCGTGATGTCACACGGGGTCTCTTCATCGTTGTCTCCGTCGCCTTCTCCGTCCGCTTCGTCGTCATCTACGTCACTGCTGACGATCGATGAATCGCAACTCGTCACCTGCGAACAATCCAAAAACAACGTTCAATACGAGCAAGAAGTCACAAGTTAAAATAGACAGAGTTAAACAGAAAGGAACCAAGCCACATCGGGATCGAACCGACTCGACCTGCATAAGACTCAATGTAAAAGTTAAACTTCAAGTTCAATTTCTGCAAAATTCGCTCCAACAAAAACTAGGAATTTTTGGCGATAGATAGTAGAGCAGTAATTGAGTTCAAAACCACTCATAACTCAATTTTTCCAAAATGTGGGTTGGTTCCTTTCTGCTTAAGTCGGTCCAAATGATTGACTGGGTACCGGTCAATAAGGAGCATGTGTGGATATAGGGGAGAAACCGGGGGCCTAGCCTGGCCCCTCCCAAAAAATGTGAAGGATCATGCCAAGTAGGTGTGGGACATATGTTTTATTTTGGAAATTAGGATCGGATCACTTTTTGGACGAGAACAGCTCAAAATTGCTCCTGAAACGGCTCGATTTTTCAAAATTTTCTGGGGGCGACTCCCTCACTCCCCGGACCCCCCTTTGGAGCTGGGTTTTTGACTTTTCTCCCAAATCTGAACGACACCTGTTTGGCAGCGTGGAACGGAGCACTTCAAGTTCACGCCTCGCGCCATCGCGCCTTCAATTTTGCAGACGTAACACGGACATCCATCGAGTACGAATAGTTGTATCTCTGCGCCGTTAGCATCGCGCATCCTATCCCTTGCTCTATTTCAATAATGTGTTGTTTCCGTTTGTGTAATTTGTCGTGATGCTTCAAGGGCTATGTGAGCAACACAGCCGAAGACAGGAGAGACGTGATCGGGCCTCCTTCTTGAATTTTCCCTGAAGCAATTTCCCCTTGAATTTCTGAAGCATTGCAAGTTTACGCCTCGCTACATCGCGCCTTCAGTTTTTCAGACGCAACACGGACATCCATCGAGTACGAATAGTTGTATCTCTGCGCCGTCATTAACGCGCACCGAACTATGAACACTACCGAAGTTACAATTTTCATCCGATGACGAATCCTCCCCCCCCCCTTCTCTTCTTCGTCCGATTTTGAGCTTGGAAAGTCCCCGAAATTTTCCTTTGAGCTAAGGTAGTCCCATAGACCCTCCCCCTTAGTTCGGTGTTTCAATATGCCCCACAAAGCCCCCTTGATAAGATGTCCTTCTGGCTGCCCTCCCGCACGAAAAGTTCTAACAACATGCCCATGATACGAGGAAGGGGATGAAATTGGAGCAATCAACGTCTTTCTAGACTCTTTCATTGACCGAAGAAGCACATTCAATGGATTTTCAAGTTGAGGGGAAGGAGGTTTACACAGCCCAAAGGGCTCCAATTGGACTTAATATTCTCGATTGTTTTCATTTTTTCTGGTTCCTAGGTAAAAGAGAATTCGCTGAGGTAACTAAATGATCCATTTTCAATGCAATAATTAAAGATTTTAAAATCAAGATGCTTTCATTGCGTTTCAACGTTATAAATGTTTTCTCGAAAGTGTGTGTATTCATTCCTGAACGGTTACAAATTTCCATTTCAAATTTTTTGCGAGTTTCTTGAAAACCTGTAAAAATTAATCAGAATTTCTGGTATGAAACATGCATTCTTTTATGAATTAGTGAGGTGAAACTTCGCAATACTGCGATTCAATTACGTCCCTTTAGGTACGACCACTTCAATTAAACCCAAGCTGCAATGCTAGGTGAGACGAGGTTCATTTTTGAAGAAAAAAAGTTCCAACGATGTGAGTTGATCTTGGAACTCGACCGCCAGCAAGAAGCAGACCCGAATTCCGTGGATTCTCGTGGAATAGCGGACCCGACACGGACGGAGAGGTCGCATGCATCCGTCGGGCACACTTCGTCGATCCTCTGACGTAAACGCGTATGTCCATTTCTACATGAACCCCAGGAAGCATAGAGTTATACGGAGAACAGAGCTCACGTGGAAATTGAGATAAGCTATTACATCAGAGGAATGACGACTTCGGTCCTTGGAGAATGCAACGGCAGAAGGCGTGCGTCGTGTCACAGAGGCTTACCGAACACGCCACTGCATAGCATACTGCATCGCACCGCACAAGGGGCCACTTTTCGAATGTCTATAACTCTCCTAGGGATCGAGGTAGGATGTATCCCCGGAATGCCCCAATGGAATTTATTTTCCCTGGAAATTTCCTAGAACATGCACGCGGTTTGGATACCGAAACAATAAGTAGCTATTGTTTTCCGAGAGCAACCGGTTGCGTTCCCGAGAATTCCAGGCTGAAATTAGCTTTCCCGGGCAACTTTTATAGGGCACCACGCAAGTGGCGTTCCCATGCCTGAGCTCAGAAACTGATGCACTTAGGTGAGGCTGCAGTGAGACATGAAATTAAGAGTGATATTTTTTCTGGGAGTTTTGAATTTTCCGACTTTACCCAGAGTTTTTTAAATTTTCCTGAAAAAACGTCACTGATTTTTCACTCAGCCTTCAAAAGGTTAGAGCTTGAACATTTATGTTGATTGGCAAGCTGCAATATTTTGTCAAAACAGCTCGTAAGTGCGGTTGAAAAAAATTCGAAGTTCTGTTTCCCAGCTGTGTGAAAAGTTCTGACTTTCCACATTTTCCCGGACATATGTTATCCGAAAAAAAAACCCTGAACTTATCGGCTTTCCTTCCGACCCCATGCAGTATGTAAAAAAACTCTCAGTTCGTCCGAACTGCAATTCGTATAAAAATTCCTCTCTCATTTCATTTCCGTGAATTCTTGGAATCGGCAAAATTTTCGTTTTAATTACACCATGCGGTCCTTCTGCATCGCATAGGGGGAAAACACTTCTATTATATTGAGCGAATTTCCATTCATACGTACAAAAAAGTTTCCGACACAGGTGATTGAAGTTCTATAATGTAATGCAGTAGAATTTGATGAACCAAACCTAAGTGCCCTTTCTATGACGGAAAACTCTGGTATACCACATGGATGGGAGTTTTTTCGCTCTGCGCTGAGAAAAAAAACTCTGGTCGTGGAAGCCGTACTTACGGGCTACATTGACATACCGTGCGCGTTCCAGGCTCAGAGGCCGAAAGTTCCAGGTGCAGCACACGGAGCAATCTAAGCTACGGCTCCGGCACCCGGAACTTTCGGCTTCTAAGCCCGGAACGGACGGTTTATCTACATAGCCCGTAACTTTTTTTTCAGTGTACGCGTACGATTAAAATCAGATTGCGACTGTCCGACTAGCCATTGTGTCCCCGCTTTCACCGGCTTTGGAATCGGAGCTCTCGCACCGTTCTTCAGTTCACGCGGTGAGCTTTGCGTTGAAACTCGAGCCGGGAGTTACGGCTGAACCTCGCGGCCTCCTGAGCGTCGCTGTCGTCGCATGAGCTGTCACACGACCCGGCGTCGGCGTCGCCGCGTCTCGCGACGGAAACACATAAAAACACTCGCAAGACCCGGCGGGCGGGCGTTTGTCTGGTAATTGCATTGCGGGGCACCAGAGCGCGCGCGGCGCATACAGATGAGCCCGGAGATCGGGCCGAGACAATCGGCGACACATATTCCGGAGGACTCCATTATCAGGGGCTTAATGGTATTCACATTACGAGGGGAGATGCTTCAACTTATTGAATTCGGCTCCCCCCGCTCCCCTGGCGAGTGTGGAAAATGTGATGAGATTTGGGTGCTTCAGCGCCGCAGGAATCCCCGTAATTTCAGGATGTTGCCTTCCGCGATTAAGGTGAATCTGCAACGAGGACGAGGGTAAGCGAACATCGGGGTGTTGATTTTTTCTAACAAAATAGCACTGAATTTCATTGAGGAAACGGGCGCACTAAAATATACAAGGTGATCCAGGGTTGAACGGCCAGACTGCAGCAGCGTGTCCTATGGGCCAAAATAAGACTTTTCGTTGTGTAAAGTTTTTTCGAGAAGTGCCACCTGTCGGAGCTATGCCCCCCCCCCAAAAAAAAAAAAAATTCGGTAAGTAAATAGTTTTTCCTGAATTTTGGCAACGGTTGTGAACCAAATCTCATGAAAATGTGTGCTCCAAATCGAAATCTCGATTTAAAGAAGGGGTTTGGGGGTGTTTCGGCTTCCACAATCTGAGCGGTTAACCCTGGATCACCCTGTATACATCGTGACCGCACTTGAGCCCGTCCTTACGTTTATGATTGGCCAGCGGTGCAATTTCAGCTCGCTAACGAGTGTCCTATATTTTGGTGCTGAAGTGTCAACTCTCAAATCTTGTTTTATTTCAAAATTTGGCATAAAAGAGCTAATACGCTAGGATTTTTAACAGTACATTTTTTACGGGTATCAGGGAGTCAGCCCGGTGATTTACCTCAACTTGGAGGACCAGGATTTGATTTCGGAGTACCGTCTCCCAGACAGGCTGCTTTTTCCGCAGCTTTGAGCCCTATTTGCCAAAACCCCCTGTGAAGCAGGGGCTACCAGCTAGCTAAATCTATGACACTACAGTCCTTTATACGGTTCATACGACTTGATGCATATTTACATTACCTGTTTCCAAACAACCTCGTTGAAAAACCTCGGGTTAAAGTAGAAGGTGTCCGAAAGCAATGAGCCACCATTCAATTCGACAATATAATCAATGTTTGACTTGACTGTATGCTAAGAATGAGGACTTCATACAAAAGAAAATTTAAATGCTTCACAGAAAATGGAAAAAAATAGTGTCTGCCAACGTAATCCTAGTGATGATATACACCGAGAATATTAGTATTTTACGCCGCGAGCAAATGGTGTTATGCTCTAATTTAGCAGGCCTTTACGCTTCAAAACCAATTTTGTCATCATAACTAGTTCGATCAGAATCAGTCGCGCAGTTGGCGCAAAACACCATAACTTTTTTCGGTGTAGACGAAAGTGCTTGTGAGCTGAATTCAACGTTTTTCTTCTTCTTTTTTCTACTCTCTTTTTTGTTCAATTTTCTCTAATGAGGTAGACTAAGAAAAAACTACCTTGAAAGTGAAATCCCTTACCACTCATTATCACCAACCACGTACCA